TCGGTATCGAGCCCTCTTTTGGATTAATGCTGTGAACGTTAGAATTTATATATATTACTTTCGTTCACATTGCATCGGATATATATATATATATATATATATATATATATATATATATATATATATATAGAGAGAGAGAGAGAGAGAGAGAGAAAATATATATTTAGATAATATCCATAAATATATAAATTAACGTCTTTCATGTTCAAATTCTCTTCTTTCTGTATTCAATGTTTTCCTTTCATATGAGAATTTTTTGTCTCTCCCTCTCTCTCTCTCTCTCTTACTCTCTCTTATTCTCTTTCTCTCTTACTCTCTCTCTCTCTCTCTTACTATCTCTCTCTCGTCGAAGTATAAACTCCGATCCGAGCTACACAATTAGGAACTCTTTCAAATGAATACCCCACCTCTTTTACGCTCCTCCACCCTCCCTTTCCATTAACTCTCCTCGTCCTCCTTCCACCCCACACCCACCCCGAATTATATAGTCCTGCCATCTACATTTAAAAACCCGTGTATTTCCATTTCCGGCAAAGATCTTTCTTCTCAATCATATCACTGACAGTTATAAAGACGGTCACCCGCGGGGCGAACAGTGGGCCTGAAATCAAGAAAAGCTCGAAGGCAGACGGAAACAGGGTAGATTTCTCTTTCTCCCTCGATGCCTCGCGAGTTGTCTCGATAAGGAAATAGATCTCTGATTGTGTAGCGGTTGACGAGCTGGGGAGGTGGGGGTGGGGGAAGAGAAAGAAAGATGCAATAACGACTACGGACAGGGTAGAGTTAACCAATTTCCTGACTCCGTGGCTAGCGGGCCCGAAACCTAGGGACGTGTGAAACCGGAAGTGGTTCCAGTAATGACAACATGGCGACGCGACGTTTGCAACGTAACGTTTGTATCTATCTCTCTGTTGGAGCATAAAATTTCTTCATTTGCCGCCTGGGATTGTTATGGCGGACGGCGCATGCGCAGAGCTCTGATTTGCTAATCAGGTCGCCATTTGCACGAGAAGAAACTGCTTGGATCAATTTGTGCTTTCTTCATGTGATTTTGTGTTTTTATCTTATCATTCGGTTTCTTTTTTACTCGGCCGTTTGAAATTTATTTCCCAGTCAACGGGATTGTAAATGGCGGCTGGTTAGTGGAATGGGAGAAGAAGATTAGCTTTATCACTGCTGCTCCCACGATAAATGGCGGATCGGTTTTTTCTTTTTCTCTCTGATTTCTTAATTTCTTTATCTATCTCGTTATTACAACTGTAGATAAATAATAAATAAATAAACGCTAAATGACGTAGAAGAAAACATAAGAAAAAAAAGAGGATATAGGACGAAGAAAGAAAGAAAGAAAGAAAAAAGAAAATAAGGTGAATGAAATGAAGAAGGAAAGAAAGACAAAAAGAAAGAAAGCGAGTGACCTGAAAAAGTAAAGAAAGAATGAATGAATGAATGAAAAAAAGGATGCGAATGAACTAATGAAGGAAAAACTATGAACTGAAGAAAGAAAGATTATGAACTGAAAAAAGAAATGGAAAAAAAGAAAGCGAATGAAATGGAGAAAGATAATGAACTGAAGAAAGGGAGTAGTAAAGAATGAATGAATAAAAAAGAAAGAAAGCGAATAAACTGAAGAAGGAAAGATCACGGACTTAAAAAGGAAATAAATGGAAAAGAAAAAAGAAAGAAAGAATGAATGAATGAGAGAAAAAAGGAAATAAGGTGAATGAAATGAAGAAGGAAAGAAAGAAAGACAAAAAGAAAGAAAGCGAGTGAAGTGAAAAGGGAAAGAAAGAAAGAAAGAAAGAAAGAAAGAAAAAAAGAATGAATGAGAGAAAAAAGGAAATAAGTTGAAAGCAATGAAGAAGGAAAGAAAGACAAAGAGAAAGAAAGCGAGTGAACTGAAAAAGGAAAGAAAGAAAGAATGAATGAATGAATGAATGAATGAATGAATGAAAAAACAAGAATGTGAATGAACTATTGAAGGAAAAACTATGAACTGAAGAAAGAAAGAAAGAAAGAAAGAAAGAAAGAAAGAAAGAAAGAAAGAAAGAAAGAAAGAAAGAAAGATAATGAACTGAAAAAAGAAATGGAAAAAAGAAAGAAAGCGAATGAAATGGAGAAAGATAATGAACTGAAGAAAGGGAGAAGTAAAGAATGAATGAATGAATAAAAAAGAAAGAAAGCGAATAAACTGAAGAAGGAAAGATCACGGACTTAAAAAGGAAATAAATGGAAAAGAAAAAGAGAAAGAAAGAAAGATAACAAACTGAAGAAAGAAAGGGACATAGAAACAAAGAATAAACGAAAGTGAATTAACGGAAGAAGGAAAGATAATGAAAGTGAATGAACTGAATAAAAGAAAGAAAGAAAGAATGAAAATACTCTAGATAAAAAGAAAGATTATGAACTGAAAAAAACTGATATAAACTGCCCAAAAGGAAAAAGAAATTGAAGGAAATGAACGATAAGAAAGAAAGAAAGAAAGAAAGAAAGAAAGAAAGAAAGAAATAATCAAAATGGAAAAAAGAATAAAAGACGAAAAAGAATTTAAAAAGCCCACTGATTATGAAGATGTCTTATGATTTCTCTACATTTTTCGTTCTTTTTTTTTTTTTTTTTTTTTAATCTCATTCAATAAAACCCAAAAGAAAAATGGACACAAAAGAAAACGAATACAAGACAAAAATAACCAGATTCGCTATCAATAAGCAAAATTGATTTAAAGGGACAAAGATATTGCATCGAAATCCTCAGAGCAATTTCTTAGAGAATCCAAAGTCTTGTAGGACATTGTGAATTAGGTTGGTAAGTGTTCGTTTATTGTTGCCTTTAATAAATATCACCAAACGATACATTTAACTGCATGTATATTCCTTCAGATACGGTCACACAAAAGATCTCCCACACACATACACGCAGACCCATATAAGCATACACATACACACACACCGATTTAATAAGCGTACCTTAGATGTGGCACAAGGCTGAATGTATGAGTTCCCTAATAAGAATCAAACTCACATTGAAGTATTAATTGATCTAGCGAGTCAACTTTGCTAACAATTGCATCAAGTAGAAGCGCCCATAAATAATTTTCAAATGGAAGTTCAGATGTGGCACAAAGCCGAATGACTGAGACACCGAATATTATTCAAACTCACTTTGAAGTATTAATTGATCTAGCGAGTCAATTTTGCTAACAATTGCATCAAGTAGAAGCGCCCATAAATAATTTTCAAATGGAAGCTCATATGTGGCACAAAGGCGAATGAATGAGACGCCTAATAAGAATCACTCACATTGAAGTATTAATTGATCTAGCGAGTCAACTTTGCTAACAATTGCATCAAGTAGAAGCGCCCATAATAATTTTCAAATGGAAGTTCAGATGTGGCACAAAGCCGAATGAGTGAGACACCGAATATTAATCAAGCTCACTTTGAAGTATTAATTGATCTAGCGAGTCAAACATGGTAACAAATGCAACACGCAGAAGCGCCCGAAAATGATTTTTTAAATGGATGCTTAGATGTGGCACAGAGCCGAATGTATGAGACACCCAGTAAGATTCAAACTCACTTTTAAGTATTAAATGATCTAGCGAGACAAGCTTACTAACAAGTGGATCAACTTGAAAAGCCTAAAAATCATTTTCTGAAGTAGCTCAGGTGTTTTGTAAGGCCGAATTTTTTTATTACCCAGCAGTAGTTGAACTTTCTAAGCAGTCGTCATTTACTTGGCAAGAAAAATTTGCTAACCATTTGCAATACTTGGAAGTGCTCGCACACGTACTCACATATGAATAGTAGGAAATTGTTTCGGAAATCCGTATATTTTTTTCTCTTCTTCGTCTTCTTTTACGTGTCGTTTCTCTTCAGAACTACGATGATCATTGCTCTCCACTACTTCCTTCATGTGTGGCTCTTAGAAATATCCTTTGTTTACGTTCATTTCATTATTTTTTAGCGAATATTTAATTGTCTCAAGGCAATGAAAAATAAAGAGAACACTGCAACAATTAAAAGTCCTGGGTGTGACGATAAACTAAATCCGGCAGCAAGGCCTCTGATTGGGTGAATATGAGTTTTGAGGACCATGGAGCCACCTCTTAACTGCTGTTGTTCCTTGGTACACTCTGACCGGAGTGGTAGCACCTGTTAGGAACCCAAACAAAAACAAATCACTCTGAAAGAATAAAAATATATTTTAATAGTAAAATTACCTGCAAGACATTTTTATATTGTAAATGAGTCTAAAACAAGTCTATTTATAGTAAAATCAATAATGAGCAGCAATACAATACCAGAGAAATACCAACAATGTATTTTATAGCAAAATGACCAACAATGTATTTTATAGCAAAATGACCAACAATGTATTTTATAGCAAAATGACCAACAATGCATTTTATAGCAAAATGACCAACAATGTATTTTATAGCAAAATGACCAACAATGCATTTTATAGCAAAATGACCAACAATGCATTTTATAGCAAAATGACCAACAATGCATTTTATAGCAAAATGACCAACAATGTATTTTATAGCAAAATGACCAACAATGCATTTTATATAAAATGCATTGATAATTTGCCATACTTAAGGTTTAGCGTCTCTCTATATTTCTGAGATGAGGTATTATGTACATTATTTACATTATTCGGACTATTGTCCTCATCTTCGGCCTTCTTCAGGTGGTTGGAATGACGAACTGAACCCTTTATTTCGCTCACTGGGGTAGACTGTTCTAGTTCCACGTGCCATGTTTAATGGATGTCAAGGACACATGGCACAGTGGATAAAGGCGTTTTTTAGATCCAATGACAGGACCCAAAGGGTGTGAGTTCAATACCCGGTTAAGGCAGTGGAGAACTTTCAGGTGGGAATTAACAGGAGATAACTGATAACTGACATCCATTAAACATGGCACGTGGATCTAGAACAGTCTACTCCCTGTGAGCGAAATAAAGGGTTCAGTCCGACATTCCCGCCATAAAGACGAGGAAAATAGTCTGAATAATGTAAATAGTGTTCATTAAATATGACAGACAAGGTGATTTCATTAACTTTTATTATATAATTTCCCATATGATCTTATTTATTTTTCCGCCCGCTTTCTGCTATACATTTATCCATTTTCAAGGATGGAATATGGTAACTAGAACAGTCTACCCCAGTGAGCGAAATAAAGGGTTTAGTTCGACATTCCAACCACCTGAAGAAGGCCCGAGCGTATAACGGCCGAAACGTTGTGATAAATATGGCGACAAAGATGAGGACAATAGTCCGAATAATATAAATAATATACTTATGGTTTAAAATGAATTTTAAAAATTAAATTATTTCTTGAAGATTTCGTTTTAGCTTTAATTGAAAGCTAAAGGGTTAAATTGACTATTTCTATAAAGCAAATTACTCTGGAGTGTATTTCAAATAGTAATTATATTGACTGAAGTCAGATTCAGTATTTTTTGATAAAAATAGCAGATCAACGCTCCCCCCTTTTTTAGTTAGAAGCTAGTTTGGTAAGTGTCTTTCATCTCATTTTCCGTCTCTCACTTTTCATTAAATTCGTGCTGTTTTGAAGTATGTCAAAACTTAATGGTTTTCAAGTTGTCAAGGCAGCTTTGTGGTGAAAGAAATTCTGACCTTGCTACCCAGTAATGGGTCATCAGTATCACCCCTGGTCGAACAAGATATTGTGCCAACTTTAAAAATCAGCATTCACAAGTCAGAATTTTACTTACGCTTGTTTGTTTTTTTTCCCTTCTATTTCTTTTATATTTAATGTTTCTCAAATTCAAGAGTTACTTATTTTTAAATCACTTTTTTCTCATCTTTTGTTCTTAACACTATCATTCTTCTTTATTTTTCTTTTCACTTTTATTTATTCTATCTCTTTTTCATCGCCTCCTCTCTCTCTCTCTCTCTCTCTCTCTCTCTCTCTTACACACACACACACACACACACACACATAGACACACATACACACAGGTTGCCTGTCATAAAAATGACCGATTGAAACTCCTTGACTTATTGGTGCAACTAGAGAAATAGGAATGAATAATCCATACCATTTTCCACTCTCAGAAAGTCAGTCAGTCAAGTGCTTGATACACGCTTAGACGATCATGTATCTTTCGATACATGACTGACAAGGCAGATTTTTCCCGCAATAGTTCCCATTTCTTTCTGTGGTAGACCAATTGCCATCCAAGGCTAGAGAACACAGTCTGCCCTACTATTTACCCACAGCTGAGGGGAGAAAAAGAGGATTCATAACTTTCCCAAGGGTATTAGCACGTAAGTGAATATCAGTCAGTTATCTGCCATGAGTGATACACGCTTAGGCAATCATGTATCTTTCGATACATGACTGACGAGGCAGATCTTTTCCTGCCGTAGATTGCCATTTCTTTCTGCGGTAGTCCAGTTGACATCCAAGGCTATAAAACCCGGTCTGTCCTACTATTTACCCATAGCTGAGGGGAGAAGAAACGTAAATGAATATCAGTCAGTTATCTTTTTGATACATGACTGACGAGGCAGATTTTTCCCGCAGTAGTTGCCATTTCTTTCTACGGTAGACCATTTGCCATCTAAGGATATAGAATCGAGTCTCTCTTGCTGTTTACTCATAGCTGGGTGGAGTGGAAGAGGATTCATACCTTTCCCAAGGGTATTAGTACGTAAATGAATGTAATGGATCCGAGTGGAATTCGAACTCCGCTCTCCGATTCCTCAATCCGAGCCTTACAAGAACTTGGCATAATTATCACATTATTTCACTAAATTCATTAAATCTCTTATTTACTGTGTGATACATTTTAACTTGAATTTTCAAAAGTTAAGTGTAAGGTAGGTACCTGCACTAATTCACGATACTTAAGGTTTTAAATGAATTTAAAAAATTAAAAACTCCCTTGAAGATTTCATTTAATTGAAAGCTAAAGTATTAAATTTAGTATTTCCAATAACCAAAATACTCTCTAGTGCGATTCAAACAGAAATTCTATTGAGTGATTTAAAGTCGATTCACTTTCTTTTCTTTTTTTTATTTGCCTAAAAATAGCTCATTAGTTAACTTTTTTAGTCATCTGTCATCGCAATTATTTTTTCTTTATTAAAAAAAAGCTTCCAAAAATAAAATATATTTTTCGAAAATGTAGCTGATTTAAGGTATAATTAACCTGTTTTGAAAAGTTGAGAATAACAGTGAAATGGATTTTTAAAACAGACAGTAGCGTGATTTATGTGCCCTTTATCGCCTGTCAGTCATTTAACAAGCACTTATTGACAGTTGTATTGTTGTTGTACGGAAACTTTATCTGTTAAATTATAATTTAAGAAAATGAAGGGTGAACGCTTTTCTAGATAATTTTAAATATTCTCCGTAATCTAATTTTAGGAATGTTGACTTTTTAAATTTAATAGAGTCATCGATCATATTTTCCGATAATGTCATGTATGCTCACCCATACTTTCACATTGGGCCTGTTTATATACATAAAAAAAAAACAATTTTAACTTATTTTAAAAATCTTAATACGTGATGATTTGTATTAAACTTTTCAATTTTCGCTTAGTAAATATAGTCTTCACTTAGTAACCTAACGAGGATAAAGTTTTGAAGACTTTTAAAAAGATTGAAATTTTATAAATTATTATAATTAAAAATAAAAATTGAACACAATTCTTGTAAAAAAAAGTTATTATTCATCGAAAATATTTTTTTCTTCAGACAATAATGTCCGTAATGTATATTATTTATAAAAACAATTAAAGCCTTATCTAATTAAATAATTGCAGTTTTTATTTTACTACTCGGAGTAGATTTTCAGGAAATCAGTAACTGCTTGAAATTTTAAAAAAATAGATAATTTACATTCTCCGAAGGTCCTGCATTTAACTCCTAGTGGGTGGGGGGGATGTAACAGATGTAAAAAAAAAAAAAAAAACATTTTTGAAAAATAATAATTTCAAAAATTTATTTATTCATTTGTGAATAAGTCGCATTAAAATCCGACAATTATAATTAAAAAAAACTTTGATCTTTCCTCTTAATATTAACATAGACATTTTGGCGGTAAAACTTCGTTTTGATTAAGTTTGAGGCCTTTTTTCATCATGGTATACTCTTTTTTCAGCGAATTAGTGGAGGTACCTTTTTTGTTGTGAAGGCATACAATTATGTTTAAAATATATTTCGTTGCAGTCATGAAATTGTGCTCAAAATATTTAGATTTCGGCATTAAATAACCCATAGAGGTGTTGATATGCAACTAAACAAAATCAATCAACCAACCAACATTAAAGAGCTTTAACATGGAATTAATCAATATAATATCCTAATTTTTCTTAAAGAAATCAAACTGTATTCCAAAATATAACTTCAACAAATCTACAAGATAAATCCTACCGATCATCGCTTCTAGTAATCATGTCCCCACAAATATGTATATGTACAAAAGCCGAGTATCATCTACCATGTAATCAATTGTGAAAGCAGAATAACCTCATATATTTTGTTACTTCAAAACTCTCCAAAAAATTAAATTTAGGCAATAAATGACCCTTAAGGAGTTAATATGCCGTTAAACAAACAAACGAAACAAATAAGGCAACAGTTAAACCCACTGACAATGGCTCGTTAACCATACTATGTCAGGTTCCCTTACTTACGAAAAATATACTTCCCGACAGAAATTGAATGTGTATTTCGTTTTTCTATTAGGAAACCACTCCTTTAGCAAGATTAAGCCCTACCACGAGAAGCAAGTTTAAATTGTCCGATTTAAAGAATGTAGATCTCTCGCTGGAATATTTTCCAAACCCATATATGTTAGCTTTGTTTTTGTAACTGAAACATAAACAAAACCATTTTTCAATTGATTTTATTTTTGCCCCGTAATAGGTTGCCATTTCTTTCTGTGGTAGACCAGTTGCCACCCAAGACTATAAAACCCGGCCTGTCCTGCTATTTACCCATAGCTGGTGGGAGAAAAAGAGGATACATACCTTTCCCAAGGGTATTAGTACGTAAGTGGATGTAATGGGTTCGACTGGAATTTGAACTTGGCTCTCAGATTCAATTATATGCGATGCGTGATACACGCTTAGGCGATCATGTATCTTTCGATACATGACTGACGAAGCAGATTTTTTCCCGCAGTAGGTTGCCATTTCTTTCTGCGGTAGACCAGTTGCCATCCAAGGCTATAGAACCCGGTCTTTCCTACTATTTACCCATAGATGGGGGTGAGAAGAAGAGGATTCATACCTTTTCCAAGGGTGTTAGCACATAAGTGAATGTAATGGATTTCACAATCCGAGCCACTATTCATTACTCCATCGTGCCTTCTCGACATATCTTACGATTACAATTTTTCAACCTGATATGTATTCAAGATGAATTTAATGGCAGATTGGGGAAGTGGGGAGGTTACGAAACGTTTACTTGCATGTCATTAAGATACGTCATTTGCCTCGGGATTAGTGCTCCTTCTCCTGCGAAAGTCGGCAGGCTCTGAGGGATTTTCTCTCGGGCGAGGACTGACCTTGCTTACACTCAGCCGTTTTAGTGTGTTACTAAGGCGGGCAAGACGAGTTTATCTCGGTGATCGTCGTCAACGACATTGGGCTCTCGGATTGAAATGCCTTAAAATCGACATTGAATAAATTCTATGTCGGCAAAATTTCTTTCCTTGTGGGACCGGTTCCTTTGCCAGATAATGTCCGTACGATGATATAGTGATTTAATAATTGTAGCTTAGATGTGACGTAAGGACGATTCGATGAATATATAAGAGTTTATCGGGCAAACCTTTCACTAAGTGGTGTTGAGTAAACTTGTTGGGAACGACATGAATCGAAGTCCATTACTTTGGAAACCACTTTTGCTTGTAGCAACATGGCCACCTCCATAAACAAGAAGAAACCGTTTCTGCTTACAGTGGGCTGACTTAAACTCGAACAGTTACCAATGGCTCTAGTATACATGATGTTCCAAAGACTGCACTCACTCTTTAAATGGCAATAAAGACGGTATTTATTGACTTGCAAACAATATTAAAGTTCAAAATTAAGTAATATTAATGTTTGGTATATTTAGTTTGGTTTATTTTGTTTAACGGCATATCAACCTCAATGGGTTATTTAATGCCGACAACATTTTTAGGATAGATTCGTATGAATAGAATATGTATTCTTTGGTTTAGATTGTTTTGGTTTATTTTGTTTAACGGCATATCAACCTCAATGGGTTATTTAATGCCGACAACATTTTTAGGATAGATTCGTATGAATAGAATATGTATTTTTTGGTTTAGATTGTTTTGGTTTATTTTGTTTAACGGCATATCAACCTCAATGGGTTATTTAATGCCGACAACATTTTTAGGATAGATTCGTATGAATAGAATATGTATTCTTTGGTTTAAATTGGTTTGGTTTATTTTGTTTTACGGCATATCAACCTCAATGGGTTATTTAATGCCGACAACATTTTTAGGAAAGATTCGTATGAACAGAATATGTATTCTTTGATTTAGATTGGTTTGGTTTATTTTGTTTTACGGCATATCAACCTCAATGGGTTATTTAATGCCGACAACATTTTTAGGAAAGATTCGTATGAATAGAATATGTATTCTTTGGTTTAGATTGGTTTGGTTTATTTTGTTTAATGGCATATCAACCTCAATGGGTTATTTAATGTCGACAATTTTTTTTTATCGCTGGTAATATTTTGTTTTGTTAAAAAATCTGTTTCTGGTAATATATTTCCTTCAAAATTGTATTGAACTCACACTCTTTGGGTCCTGTCACTGGATCTAACTACCGTGTTTATCCCCTGTACCATGTATCTGTTAAGGTAGTGGAGAACTTGGAGAGGGTAATTAACAAGAGATAACTGATAACTGACATCCATTAAACATGGCACGTGGCACTAGAACAGTCTACCCTAGTGAGCGAATAAAGAGTTCAGTTTGACATTCCAACCACCTGAAGAAGGCCGAAACGTTGTAATACATATGGCGACAAAAATGAGTACAATAGTCTGAATAATGTAAATAGTGTACATAATACCTCATGTCAGGAATATAGACAGATAATTCATCAATATTTATATATTATTTTTTAACATAATTTTGATTGAAGTCATGTGGAATGTCATTATCTAAGTTATATCCTTATTTGTCCCTCGACTGATGTGGTTTCTGTTAACTTGGTACAGTTCTTTGTTTGTGATTCGGCAGCAGGAGTCGACAAGTTTCGAAGAAAGATGGTCCTTGCTAAGACCTACAGGGTCCATTCTCTGGGAGCCATTTTTAACCATTGATCTGAGAAAGCTGACACTTTAGATATTTCTGAACGAGTTTGACGCCATGAAAGTACCCGTATGAAAGTATCGTGCTAACGAAACTATTTAAGAACAGCAATCTACTTCTTTAGGTTAATGTTTTGGCTTGGTTTGGTTTGGTTTGGTTTGGTTTGGTTTACGTCATATAAACTTCAATAACGGCAAGATTTTTATTGCAGTAATATTTTTTTCCAAAAATGTATGGCTGGTAATATTTTTTCAAAAGTGTATTGCTGGTATTTTTTTCCAAAATGTATTGCTGCAGTTTTATCTGTTTAAAACCCTCTCTCTCTCTCTCTCTCTCTCTCTCTCTCTCTCTCTCTCTCTACATATATATATATATATATATATATATATATAAAAAAAAGAACAGTAAGATATATTATCTGGTGTTCTTACTGGTATTTTTATTTTTACATTGTAAATTTACAGAGCATTAATATTATAAATTAACTGATTTAAAATATGTTTTTTTTCGCCTCCCAGTATTAACCATGTTTCAAAAATGGAAGCTGAAAGCGTCGAATTTAATTTTATAATTAAATTAAAAACATTAGTTCCATTTCATTCTCAAGCGATTCACAGGCTATACCAAAAGTCTGGACATATATTTTTAAGAAATGCATTTTTCAAAAGCATTTTAATGAATTGGAATATTAACAAATAACATCTTCAATATGTTTTCCATCATTTGTGATGCACTTTGCAAGATTTAAGGGAAGTCTATGCAATAACTCCATATTGCCGTCAATTTTAGAACATTCCTTCTTTATGCATTCAATAAAGTGTTTTGCATCTTTGATTTCCATTGAGTACACCTTATTGTTTAACGTACCCCAGAAAGAAATCATGTTTAATCTTTGGAGGTAAAAAAATATATAGATAATGAGATTTCCTGTGTGTCCAGACTTTGAGGGCATCCTGTAGTATTGGAAAATATATTTGGACTTGGTACCAATAAATTCGATATGAAATCGAGCAAGCTGGACACTATAATATTGATGATAACGATGAGGGCTTTCTACAGCTGATGCAAAAGTCGATGCAAAAGTTTGTAGCATTTTCTAGAAAAAGGTATTTTATTAGTGAAAATACATGACATCTTTATTCTGTGACCGATGTATTTGCCTGGAGTCTCTATGCCGTGTCACCATCTTTCAGTCGAATTGGGCCATCTTTGTTCAGCAAAACAATCTTTCGAATATTAATGTTTACAAAAATGAAGTACAATATATATATATATATATATATATATATATATATATATATTTCAATTAAAGGTGCAATTATAATTTATAAATTCATGAATCATTCATACAAAAAACAAATATAGAGGTTAATGATTTAAATGACGAAAATACATCTTCGCAAACAATATCAATAAGTTACACCAACCCCAACATGTATATGAATGATATGATCCCTGTTTATAAATTCCAGTTGCATAAGGTCTTTTTAATTTTTTACAAGCTTTCGTCTGTTCCTACAGACATCCTCAGGTAGGAAAATAGATTTGTACTTCTCAGTAATAAGAGGACAACGAAAATAGAGATGTAATCCGAAAAAATGCTATGAGAAATGTGTTATTGTTTTGGGACGTGCGGTCACAACGCTGAGTTTGAATTTAAATTTTAAGGTTGTGCGTTTTTGTACAAAAATTTAAATCATTAACCTCTATATTTGTTTTTTGTATGAATGATTCATGAATTTATAAAATATATATATATATATATATATATATATATATATATATATATATATCCTGGACTCTCCAGTCGTTTATTTTATCGACGTATGAGGTTCAAACAACTCAGTTCATAGAAACCGACAGCCAGACACCAGACACACCGCATTATGTTGAGGATTCTTGTTCTAGACACAATCAATTATTAGGTGAAATATATATATATATATATATATATATATATATATATATATATATATATATATATATAATCGACTCTCCCGTTGAGATTCGACGTATGAGGGTCAAGCAGATAAGTTTCCAGGAAAGTGACAGCCCGACATCGGCACATGAGATTTGATTATTGTGGTGAAGGTTTCGTGCAGGACCATCGACACTTTTTGAAGGGCCGAATACAGAGAGCTGGTGCACTATGTGCCACAATGTCCCCAAACGACCCTCCGCAGGTTTTGAATTCAATGTTGTTCCTTCTCCTAGACCAGTTACCATCCAAGGCTATAGAACCCAGTCTGTTCTGCTATTTACCCATAGGTGGCGAGAAGAGTTTTCATAATTTTCCCAGTCAGGGTCCTTCAATTCTTGCTTCTTTGGTCAAAGCTATGTTTAATCTGTGCTGTTAGAAATATAGTTAATGAGATTTCTTACGTGACCACACGTTAGGAATACCTTTTAGTTTTTCTGGTCTTTCTGAAATGAATAACATCTCTTTAACAATTCTTCGATTTTTGTTTTACCTTCTTGAATTACAGTTAATAGTGTTGCTATTTTCACCCTTTGATAAAGCTTTAAATCCGTTGAACAAGGGTTTTACCTTCTAAGCTTTTTCTCTTCGATCCATTTGCTAATATATATATATATATATATATATATATATATATATATATATATATTATAAATTAATTGATTTAAAATATTTTTTTTCGCTACACAGTTCCAACCATGTTTCAAAAATGGAAGCTAAAAGCTCCGAATTTTATTTTGTAATTAAATTAAAGACATTAGTTCCATTTCATTCTCAAGCGAATTTTGGAGTCTTACTGTTCTTTCTTTTTATTTATATATATATATATATATATGTGTGTGTGTGTGTGTGTGTGTGTGTGTGTGTGTGTGTGTGTGTGTGTGTGTGTGTGTACGGATGCTTTCATGATCTATTATAGGAACACCAAGTTTGGAGTTGTAATTCTCACACACAGGATCCTCAAAAACAAACAACAACAACAACAAAAAAAACACCATATGCAACAATGAAAGCAGAAAATCAAGAGTACCCAGAACGAGGCTATTTGCCTGCAGTGGCAATAAGGCTTTATAAATCTGCTATACTGCGCCTGAAGTACGTGATAAACACGAGTTACCTGCCAAATATGAGATTTTTTCCAACAGCCGTAGGTGTTTTATTAGCCTGGAGAAATCTCATTGATTTTTCTTTCTTTTTCTTTGTCCATGACTAAATCTATTTCTTTTCTGGAAGGACATTGTTAATATGCACACCGACAGTGCATATACCAAAAATATACAAACAACCAGTGATTTTATTTATTGATTTATTTTTTCATGCTTTACTTTTTTTTCTGCGTCAGAATGTATCATGTTCGTCTATTTAGCCGCCATATTTGAATAGAAGTAGTCTATTGCCGTCTGCATCAGTTGTTTCATTGATGCAAAAAAAAAGAAGTTTACATGAAACAAAGAGTAACGTTTTAACTATTAAAGAATTTAATCAATTAAAGAGAAAACATTGATTTTACCAAAAGTGTCCCTTAAAGTTTAAATAAATTGATAGATTTAAAAAAAAAAAAAAATGGTAAATTAATAGTGCGGCAGAAATATCCCCAAATATATATATATATATATATATATATATATATATATATATATATATATATATATATAAAAGCAATATTTCCCAAACAATGTGGGAGTCCCATC